AAAAATAAAAATAGGAAATTAAGGGAATAAAAAAGAAAAGGGGAAAGAAAATATGAGGTGTAAGGGAAGAAAGAAAATGCCATTGATTTCCAAATCTTTTTTAGTACAATACAAGATAACAACATTTCAACCTCAACTTTTTAGTTTTACACATTAGTATATAACTAGTCATTTCTATAACAACAAATCTATCTAATCGGCAAAATCAAAATCAAAGTTTTCATTTTTTTTATCACAAGCATAAAATAAATATATTCTCCTCTTTGAACAATCAATTTAACCTTACTGCTTTTTCTTCCTTGCTGTTGAAATAATATGTATTTCTATTTGCACTTAATAATCTTTATAAACTATCACCATTTATATTAACAAAATTCACTGTATTCTTTCAGATTTATATTCTAAAATTACAGGTGTCAGGTTTATATTCCAAAATTACAGTTGACTCCTCTGCTATGTCAGCTGCTTGGGAAATTGCCTCAATGGTTTGGTAACTTTCTACACATATTTGCATCTCTGAAGTAATTTGAGTAGTCTTTTTAACATCCTTGGAGCATTGCTGTTCTATGAAATGATAGATTTTATTTAAACATTTTTCAAATACATCTCTAATAATTTGCTCCTCCATCTTCTTAACTCCCTCTTTAGTCAAAAAGTAGCTTTTTTGTAGGTCACTTAAGAATCGCTGACCAATCAGGAATCATAATAATTGGAAAGTTTTAGCCATTCACAGGAAAGTAGACCAAGCTACAAATTACTAAAAATAATAAACTAGAACCACAACTTTCTGGCCTTCATCAATTTTTTTAAAAAAGATAGTCCACACTTCCTTATTTTAGCTTGCCTTAGCAGCCTCCTTCCTTGTTGTTTAACAAGAAGAAATCTCCCAAATGGCGCAGATCTTCAAAAAGGAATAACAGGCTGTAGCTAAAGAGAGCCTCTTTTAGCTTAATAAAGATTAATAGTCCTTAAAAATGATTAAGAAATGAAAGGCACAACTTATTGTCCATTTGAAAAATAAATTCCAAAATGGCTGCTTCTTCAACAACCAACTTATTGCAGCCCTGCCCCCCCAGCTTTCAGCATACAAGCTACTTCAAAGCGCAGCTCCTGAAGCTACTTGCAGACCTTTGCTGAATTGGAGGATCTTGAGGGATAATTCCAAGACTTTCCCTCACCCAGGAGAGTCATATAAACTAAAGGAATTCCAGTTCCTTTTGTTAGTAGTCCTTCCTTCTCATTAGGTGGTCAAAGTATTTGAGTTTCAACTTCAGGATCTGGCCTTCTAAAGAACAGTCAGGGTTGATCTCCTCTAGGACTGACCGGTTTGAACGCCTTGCAGTTCAAGGGACTCGCAGGAGTCTTCTCCAGCACTATAGTTCAAAGGCCTCAATTCTTTGGCACTCAGCCTTTCTTATGGTCCAATTTTCACAGCCATACATTGCAACTGGGAAAACCATGGCCTTGACTATATGCACTTTTGTTGGAAGGGTGATGTCTCTGCTTTTTAGCATACTGTCTAGATTTTCCATAGCTTTCCTCCCCAGGAGCAAGCGTCTTTTAATTTATTGGCTGCAGTCCCCATCTGCGGTAATCTTGGAGCCTAGGAAAATAAAATCTGTCACTACTTCCATTTCTTCCCCATCTATTTGCCAGGAATTGAGAGGGCCGGATGCCATGATCTTGGTTTTCTTAATGTTGAGTTTCAAGCCAACATTTGCACTTTCCTTCTTCACCTACATCAAGAGGCTCTTTAGTTCCTCTTCACTTTCTGCCATTAGAGTGGTATCATCTGCATATCTTAGGTTGTTGATACTTCTCCCGGTAATCTTAATTCCAACTTTTGATTCATTTAGCCCTGCGTTTCTCATGATGTGCTCTGCATATAAGTTAAATAGGCAGGGCGACAGTATACAGCCTTGCCGGACTCCTTTCCCAATTTTGAACCAATCAGTGCTTCCGTGTCCAGTTCTCACTGTTGCTTCGTGACCCGCGTATAGGTTTCTCAAGAGACAAATAAGATGGTCTAGCCTAATGCTGGAAAAGATTGAGGGCAATAGAAGAAGGGGACGACAGAGAATGAGGTGGCTGGATGGAGTCACTGAAGCAGTAGGCATGACCTTAAATGGACTCCAGAAGATGGTAGAGGACAGGAAGACCTGGAGGAACATTGTCCATGGGGTCACGATGGGTCGGACACGACTTTGCAACTAACAACAACAACAACAAGGGGAAAAACCCTCAGGGATGTCGTCAGTTGGACATCTTTTCACTAGAAGTCAGGGACTTATCTTTTAATAATGGTCAGGTTTTTTTTTAATACAGTTGATATCTCTTGAAAGGATAAAGAAATTATGTGCTACATATTGTGATTGGGGTCCTTGACAATTAAAGAACTATCTTGTCTGCTAAATAGGGCCAGTGATTCTATTGCTAACAGTTGCTTTCCTAAACTAAATTGATATTATAAGATATCATATTTTAGAAATGGCTATATGTAGGAATTGCTATGCATAGATCAAACTGATACAATCACAACAATGACTAGGGAAGATGACAGAATATTGCAGAATGTTGCAGTGTCTTGGTATAATAGGGGATGTAGATATCCTGGTTGGGGGTGAGGGTGGTGAGGTACGAGTTCCTACTAGTTGGAAATTTTTACCTGTCCTGCCGATTCAGAAAATCTTTCTTTGCACCTTTTGTCTCTCAAACAGTTAAATGGCTTATCTTCCCAAGCCTGAACAAATACTGTATAATGGCATGGTGGGGACACAAGGAGGTGGCACTAATCATAGGCTGGACCAGGATTTTTATGTGAAAAGGTTCTCAGGGAATAACTAGACACAATTATCTCAGATAATTAAAAGCTATTACAAAATTCATGAATGAACAAGGAATTGGTGTTATTTGGGAGCTCATAAAAGAGTTAGGTTTCTTCAGCCATCCAAATTTTATTTGAAAAGTCGCATAAGCTATTTTTCGCACCTCTGAAGCAAAAATTGATTTATTTAAGAGCTATTAAATCAAGGAACCAAAGCCTTAAATCATTTTTTTTCATCTCTTATATTTTAAATCTATATGCTGTGGGGAGATTTCAAATCTGTTAGTTTGAGTTTTGGTGTCATCAATGCTCTATCTTGGACTGAACAGGAGATGTAGTAGAAATCTCAACTTTTTCTCTGAAGGGGATGAGGGATTGGATGGGGATAAACAGAATAAGATTGAATCCCAGTAAAAGGCAGTTTCTCCACCTTTTGCTATGAATGGGGTTATACTACCCTAGAAAATCTGTTATTGTCTGCCTGGACTTCTGGCTCCTTCTGGAACAGCAGGTGCAAGGGTTGGCTATGGGCATAGTGAGAACAGTGACTCATGCCCTTGGCATCTCTCAGTTAGAGTGCTTTAAGTGGAACTTCTAGAAGATGACTCAGAAGCCTCAGCTGGCACAGAATGCTGCTGCTCAGCAGCATGGTCCAGTTTAATAGAATAATACCTTATCTTGAAAAAAATTCATTGGCTGCCAATAGGCTTTGAAGCCCTGAATTAAGCTTCTGGGGATTGCTATAAACCTCTGTATAGCTTGGGCCTGGATTCTGTTTATATCTTCTAATAGAGAAAAGATGCTTTGGGTCCCCATCCTATAAACAATCAGAGGGGACCCAGAAAATAACACTCTTAGCTGCACTGTCTCTCTGGACTTCAAAGGTCAGTTAATTCCCTACACTTTTAGTTTTCTGGAAACAAGTCAGTTCTTGGCAATGATGCTAAGGTTGCTACGTATTATAGGGGAGGATTTTTTTTTCTCACTTTGTTTGAGTTTTTTAAGGCAGGTATAAAAAAATAGAAAGAAATTTTCCCATTCTCCCACTCTAATCTACGTAAAACATCAATAACAACTCTTAAACAATCTGATACTGAAACAAGAATCTAAGGGAGGAGGGATTTTCCTGATCGCTGGTATTAAAGTGAAACTAGCCAAAGCATTTTGCCACCTTAAACAAAACACACTGGGACCTTCTTCCTAAATAAAACCAAAGTTTGGTACTGTAACAACTGAATCTGACTGAAATCTCTCTTCAATAGAAAAATAGCACAATTGGGCAAGATAAGTGGATGATGGTAATGATGTAACTAACCTATTTGGTAAGATGGTTGACAGGTCATTTTATTCTGTCTAAACTAAGCAGCCATGCTTTTATTTAACCTTGAACTCTCCTGCATTCACTAATCAAATCCCAGAACCCCTAAGAAACAGTATGCACAGACAATCCTCCTTTCTTAATTAGCATTTAAGTCTATACAGTACTAATTGCTTGGTAGAGATAATGCTTTCCTGCTACAAATCGAGTATTCTAAATAAAGGAAGTAGCTATCTTTTCTGCACACAAGAATCTTCAAGTAATTTTACTATAGTGCCTGGGTAGGGAATCTGCAGTTCTCCAAATGTTGCTGAACAGCAGTTCCCAACAACCAACAAATAGGAAGTGGAATAATATCTGAAGGATTTAGGTTGTTCATTTCAGCTGAAATAGAAGTACTATTCCTCAACATTTATGATAAAAAAACAATCCAGTCATGGAGACTAGAATTAATAATAACTGTATATGGAAATCTGACCTTACAATAAAGATAGATAGATAGATAGATAGATAGATAGATAGATAGATAGATAGATAGATAGATAGATAGATAGATAGATAGATAGATAGATAGATAGATAGATAGATGTAGGTAGGTAGGTAGGTAGGTAGGTAGGTAGGTAGGTAGGTAGATAGATAGATAGATAGATAGATAGATAGATAGATAGATGACCTTTTTTTTGAGAAACCAGCAGTACTAAGTTAAGCAAAATAGGATAAGTTGAACATAATAAGGTAAGTGTAAAAAGTGCTTGCAGAAATGCAATCTAGATCCAAAATAAGGGTATGTGCATGTGTCTTTCGCATATCATTAACATGCTTTTGTTTGTCTTGTTGCTAATCCTCCACCCATCCCAGAAGAAGTATCTGCAAGAATAGTCCAAGTAGTAACTGCTGAAGCTGTGGCAGTTCTGAAAAGTGAACAGGAAAAAGAAGCTCAGCTCAAAGATCAGCCAGCGCAATTACCTCTAGGTAAAGCACATGATCTTAGATGTATATTTATGGTGTGTTAGAAAACAAAGTGTTGAATTAGAGCTTTCCCATTTTTAAAAATTTTGTAGTTTATTTCATTTTTAAGACCTGAGAGCTGACTTGCTTGTAACTATTTTGCAGCTTTTTAGGAAAGGTAAAATTATGTTGTGGTCCAATTTTTAATGTTTTTTTTATATGAATAATACAAACTTCAAATTGGGATGGTTACTCTTTAAGTAATTTTTCAACTTTTCCAGCAATCAAAATAAGGAGGCAAAGGATTAAAAAAAACAATGCAATATAGTGATTAAAAAGTTAGATTGGAAGTGAGGAAATCTAGGTTCAGGGCCCTGTTTGGTCATATTGCTCATGTAGTTATTTGGGGCCAATATACTGTATCTCATAGGCTTGTGAGGATAAATTTTGGAGTCTCCATATGTAATGCCTTGAGTTCCTAAAAAATGTGATATAAATGTTTCTGTATATAAATAACAAAGGTTGTTCAGTTATACATATCCATGCACATGCATAAATTGATAGACTGCCAAATTTTAATCAGTTGTCCAAACTTCTGCAAGTTTAAAAGAAAAACTGTTCCTGAAAGTTGCGGGCTTGCCATAAATATTAAGAGAAATATAAAGTAGAACAGGAATAAATTAAAACGGGTGTCTGCTTTTAGGAACAAATGCATTGTCTGCGAGCAGAAAGCTGTAATTATATTCAATTCATTTTATGCTGGAACTTAAGAGAAAGCCTAGGGAATGTTACTTGGGTATAATTAGCACTGATTTTTGCACAGGCCACTGTTTTGCTTCTCGGCCACATACAATATGTAATCTACTATCAATAGATGATTAATAGGAGGCTAGCATCATGATTTTTACTAAAATCAAAAATTAGTTGACACTTAAGAAATAAAGATGATATCAGATAAATTTTGTTTAAATTGTAATGATATATTGAAGGTAATAAATCACGGTACTGGTTTCTCAAATTCACATGTAAATTTTACATGTGATTGGACCCTGCTGTAAAATCTCTCCAAATTTTATAATCAAGTGTTGCTTAATTTTTTTTCTTTTTAGGTTTACAAATCAGACTTTTATTGTCATCTGAGAGCTACAATGTTAATCTTCTAAAGAGCTGGGATGTCAACCGAGCACCCCATATCCTCTGCCTCTTACAGTATAGCAACATTTATGTATATTTGTACTTGTTTATAAATACGCAAGTTTTAATGTCCCCTCATTTGAATTGAATGGATGCTTGAGTTGTACAACACTGAAAACTCTTGAGTTTCAATTGAACTCATGAGATTCAATTTATTGGATGCAGAGTCAAACAATGGAGTTTGACCACAATAGTATATTTTGGTTTCAGATTAATTAATATAGATGTGTTTTCTTTCTACTGTTCAATCATTAGCAGTTGAAGAGACAGCTAACCTGCCTCCTTCTCCACCCCCATCACCTGCGTCAGAGCAGACTGGAACCCTGGAAGAAGGTAAGAATTTCCTTGGGTTGCATTCACAATGTAGGTGCATTTTTAAGAGGAGAAATCCAGGGACCCTGGTGAGAGAGAAAGAGAGGTAGGAGGAAGATTATTTAAATCTTAACTTACAGATTGGGTGCGTGGGGCTTCGGAAAATAACCCAAAGCATATCTCAATGCAAGTTTATTGTAAATTTGTATGTTCTATATATGGTTGTATACATGCATCTATATATTTCAGAAATATAAATGAATATGAATTATGTGAATTTTCTTTTTATCCTATGAATATTGTAAAACACCATGCTAGCTTTACAAATTTCAAATAGAAAAAAAGTTCATTAGATGTATTCATACTGATCCTGATCCTGAGGTGAATAATGTTCTTTAAAATGGTCTGTTCTATGCTATTATTAACCAAACAATTCTTTCAACATCTGAGCCAGGCAAGCTTCATTAAGACAGTGGCTATCTAGCCGAAGAGGATGCTAAGGTTATATTTTAGCCAAAAGAATGCTTATGTTTCTAGAATTTTTGACACATGAATTTGAGACTTAAGTAGGTAAAGCTTTTTTCTAGCCCTTTATTATCATATTGCTAAAAATATTTTATACTGAAATTATTCCTTTCCAACTTGTTTCAGATCTGTTTTTTTAAATACAAAACTTGTCTGGTGTATTAAAACTGAAAAAGTCATTAGATTTTGAAATATTCTACTTGTTCTGAGTTTATATATAAAGAAGAAACATACAGGATTCTGTTTGCTTTACTGTATTTGTACTTATTCTGTGAAGATACGTTTATAAGGACACGGGTGTGATAGAGAAAGAAGTTGACAAACTGAATTACCTTCTATTTTTATATTTCATTTGGGATCAACATTTCTTCAAATAATATTGCAACTCTTTTTTTCTTTTGTACATCCATAAGCTAATTTATTCCTGTGTCTAAGTCCATGTGGAGGGCATAAGGAATGGTCGTGAAACGCAAGAGGAAGAGCCGCTAGGAAGGCAACAATTAGATAAGAGGGTCTTGAGCCCAGGTCAAGAAATTAGTTTGAATAAATGTCTCAGACAGGCCCTTTGATAATTCTCAGTAAGATAAAATGAGGGAGGGGAAGCACAGTCATACTTGCAATATTCAGTTACTATAACTGTTACAATAAAAATTATCCTGATCTCTATGGCTTTGGTTTCTTAGGCTGGTCTTTCTTATCAAGCTGGCAGTCCATTGGAGCTAACCTTGCTTTTATAGGTTTAAAATGTGAGATTATAATGAAACTGTTATTTCCGTTTCAGCCTCAAGTTCTCAAACAACATAGGTGGGGACTACAGGATTTTAAAGAACTGCCTGTGTTTGTGCAAGCACAAGGGGGAGCACTGTCACAACATGGTCCATGGATCTGGTTGTCTGTCAAAATCATTCTTAGTTATAGAAGCACTGATTTCTGGCTGGTTTACTGACAGCTAGTGACTTCTGGTACTGTAGGTGTGTGGGACTAAATCTGAAGTCTTTTGAATATATGTGAAAGTGCATATATTAGTAAGGGTCAGTATTTTTATCCATTAATTAACATTTGTAGGCTTTCAAAATGGAAAAGGCTTGTTAAGTGGTAAGAAGAAAACTAAAGATGATTACTTTGCCTACAATGCTGATGAAATTAGCCTCAGAAAATACAGTTATGTTTTTAATAAATATAGGTAAGTGGTAAGTGTTTAGTTGTTAGAAAGTTTGTAATAACTTTTAGTAAGTAGTATACTTAATTATCTAATCCTAAACCCAATGAAATCGTTAGTTTTATTCATGAATGAGGTACATAACTACAATTATCATTTTCACAGTATCATAAAGTTTGAGCACTTTTGCTTTAAGCTATTAAAAAGGTTGTAGTCTTAAATTCTGCAATTTAAATATGCAGGAAGGCTGAGAGAACATCTGTAATATTACATACATGAAAAGAAACTGCCCTAAAAATGTTTGAAAATATTTTTAAAAATATGGAACATCCAGGCCAAACTTATAAACATTTGCTACATTTTGTATTTCCATAAGTGCTATTTTTCTCAGGGGATTGCAAGATAAATCTAGGATAAAACTACAGTATAAACATTTTTCAGCCATTTGAATGATTTTCAAAATATTTCATAACCGATTTTTAAGCACTTTGGGATTGAGTTGTTTTACCTTTTAAAAAAATGGACACTTGAAATTAAAGTAATTCAAAGGGAATCATACACTATAGTCACAAACACAAAGTTTTTTGATAAGATCAGTTTTCCTTAAGATCAAATTTCCTTAAGATTATTCTGAACTATAACAATAGAAAAGAAAAAATGGATGCTTGGCAACTGCATGTGTTAAAGCAGCTTCACATGAAGTGCCAGTTGCCTGAAGACATATTCTGTTTTATTGTTTCCACAATAATCTTTTTACTCCATACAAGCAATACTCATTAAAAAAAATGCAAGTTGAAACAATCATTACATTTGTTTTAGACTGTATAGGCAAATCTGCATTTCAGAAGGTGAGCTTGGCAATAGAATAGGATAGGATATAATTAACATAATTATATTAAAAACCTATTCATGTTTTTAACATGATTTTATTTATATTTATTTTGTGATTTCATCAGTTTCATTCATATTTCTTTTAACAGAAACTTGTAATTGGATACTTTCATACCTATAGGGATCAATCTATATGTTTGTATTAATAAAATCTTCTAAGCAATATCATTATTAGTTCTGTGTATAAGGTGGGATGCAAAATTTGAGTTTTGTCATGTCAAACAATGTTTGATGAGGTAAAAAATTGTTGCATTAGGTAATACTTCAATAATATGCAAATATATCTTTAAATATATTGATTCATATTGACACTGATATTGCTAAAATAGAACTATTAATTGATAGACATATTTCTATTATTATTTCATGTTTAAAATAAGGCTGGATTCTGTTGAATGTAGTTTCAGTTATCACTAACTTTTCTTTCCTGCAGCTCCCGAAAATTGTCCAAAAGAGAGCCAAGTGTGCATTGAATATATTAAATATAACCAGGTTGGAAAAACACATGTTACTCAATTAGCTAACATGGAAATTAATGATCTTTTCTCTACTATTATTCCTATGTGCACTTAAATTATTATATAATTTCCATTGGCTCAGTTTCTTATGCTAAAATACTAAATGACTCCCTTGGCTCATAGGAAGAGACTTTCTTTCTCTTGACATTTTATACAGCATGCCAAGTTATTGGTCTGTATTCAGACGAAACTTTAACTGTGACCATAACATTGGCTTTGAAAAGTGTGGTAGCTTTTCCAGTAATTTAAGTTTGAATAACCCTGGAGCTGATTAATCTCCGGGAGTTTTAAGGCTCTCAAATGCCAAATGTATTTAACTGTAGTTTACTCAGTTTTAAAAAATGAAATATTCCTGGGTCACTGTGACTCAGTAGATCAGATTGTTCCTAAGGTTCCAACTGGTAGCTTGAATTAGTTATTTCTGTTTTTAAAAATATCTGTATATTGTAATAGTGAAAACTATGTTTGTAGAAATTAAGTACAAGGTAAGAATATTTGTGAGGAACCATGGAGCTATAATTCAAATATATTTATTCAGATTGTGTTTTAAGATCATACCCATTATCTACCTCAAATTGCAAGAAAGCAGTCTATACATTTGTCATTTCCTTCAATTTTAGATATATATTGAGCCATTTTCTGAAAATTCAAAAAAAAAATTCAGCATGAACACTTTTATTAGTTCTACTAGTACAGGCAGAAGAAAGTCCTGTTGAATAGAGCAGCAATTGCTCTTTGGTAGCTATGCCCAAATTTTAGCCAAATAGATTAAATTGTAGAGTTTGAATTATGTAAGTGGCTGTTAATGTCCATATAACCTAGGCCTCAGAGTAGTAGTGCTGAAAAATAAATTTATTTCCAACAAACAGAAGAAGAAAGCAAGCAATCTTTAACACTTTTGGAAACTTTGGAAAGTGCCAGAGACACTGACACAAAATAGGTACATGCACACAAGTGAGTACATAAAATGGGTATAGTCATTCAGCTTTCATATGTTCAAAAATAGATCCTCCCCATATCTGTTATCCCTATTCAAACGGGATATTTAAAAATGATTCTGCTAAAAAATCATCTCCCATCTTTAGAACACATTTTAAAATTGTTCCCCTCAAATACAGTTCTTCCTTCTTTAACATGTATTTAAAAATCAACCTGGCAAATCTATCTCTCTTAAAAGAAATCAACTGAAGGGCTGGAAACTCCAGTGGCTTATAATATGGTAGCTGTGTCGGGTTGAGACCCTTGCCTGTCTTTGGTGGAGCAGTGGTTAAAATGCAGTATTGCAGGCTAATTCTGCTGATTGCTAGGAGTTGGATTCTCACCAGCTCAAAGTTGACTTAGCTTTCCATCCTTCCGAGGTTGGTAAATTGAGGACCCAGGTATTGTTGGGGGCAATATGCTGACACTGTACACCGCTTAGAGAAGGCTGTAAAGCACTGTGAAGCAGTATAGAAGTCTAATTGCTATTGCTATTGCCTGTCAAAAACAATATAAAAGGTCACTGAGATCTTGTTGGAATTTTGACCATACAATTTTTTTCCATTCCAATTTAAGTCATTACATACAATAGATTACCGATCATCACCAGAACTGCTTTTGTTTGATATGGGATGGATTTCCCCTACTTACTGTCAATTTCTGGTAAAAATGTTCCTCGCCATGTAAGTAAACTAAGATGTCATTTGAACAGCTTACATTTGGGTAAAAATATTTTTGTTGCTGAAGCTCTGAAGTGGAAGTCTGTCCTATCTGGGTTGCAAAAATCCTAGCAGTCTCTGGATGGCAGCAAAGAAATGTGGAAGACTCTCAATCTGTGTTGCTGTCTAGTGGTCTGCTTTTTGATAACCTTGCCTGATCAATACAGGTAATGATCCTCAAATCTCCATATTAATGTTATTGTTTAGTCATATTTGAATTTGAATTTGAAT